TTGCAGGTTGCTGACCAGCTGTGCGCCAAGTACAGCAAGGAGTACGGGAAGCTGTGCCGGACAAACCAGATTGGGACAGTCAATGACAGGGTAATGAACTGGTGGAACAGCTGGAGCTGGCAGAGCAGCCACGCCTGCTGAGGCTCACTGCCCCTTGGGCCTGTGGCCAGTGGGTGATTCCCACAGTCCCTGCAGAGCAGGGCGGGCAGATGGAGCCCACCTGTGTTGGAGCACGGTGCTGAGAGCCTGGGCAGGGGGGGAGCACATGGAGCCCTGGCCTGTTGCTGCCCATAGTGTGCTGCACTGGGCAGAGAGGTTTCCCCAGGGCTGCCCAGTGCTTCCTGGTGGCCCTGGCTAGGATAGAGCTGGGGTGGTGCTGGGCCGGAGCTATGGGGTGCTCTGGCCACTGCCCTGGCCCCACTGTGTCTCTCCATCCCTGTGTTCCAGCTGATGCACAAGCTGAGCGTTGAGGCGCCGCCCAAGATCTTGGTGGAGAGATACCTCATCGAGATTGCTAAGAACTACAATGTGCCCTATGAGCCTGACTCTGTGGTGATGGTGAGTGAGCCATGGGCTGTGCATTGTAGTGAACTTGCTGAAGTGTCTTCTAGACAGCCCCAGCACAGCATGGTCCTTGTTCCTTCCCACAGCCCTACAGCATGTGCCCATAGTTACTCATGCAACTGCTTGGTTCCTGTTCTGTTTTCTGTTAATACCACCATATAGCTGCTCTCTGTTCTGTCCTCGTTGTTTATTCCCATCTTGTCCAGCGACAAAGGCTGCATCTACTGCTGTTCAGAGGGCAGTGATCGGAACAGAGATGTGGTGGTGAGCAGAATTCTTCCACCCTTTCCAGGCTGAAGCCCCAGCAGGTGGAGAAGCAGATCTAATTGATGTGGGGTTCACGGATGATGTGAAGAAGGGTGGCCATGGAGGGGGTGGAGGTGGTGGATTTACAGCCCCGATGATGGGTCATGATGGGTTAGTACCCATGCCCGTGATGATGCCTATGCCCATGCCAACACCAAATCCGCCCTTCTCCTATCCACCTCCAAAGGGACCGGTAAGTTTCTTGGCTTTGTGTGTTTCCTTTTTCTGTGAAAGACTCTTGAGTGTGGTGCTTAGCCCTGTACCTGCTGACTAGAAAGTGTCTGTACCTGATAGCTTGTTTTGGTATGAGATTACATGGGATGGGGACTGTTGGCAGCGCAGTTGAAGCTTCGTGTTGCTTCTTGACTGTGGAGGTTCCTACCCCTCTTCTCCAGCCAGCCCTCTTTGCCTTCAGGGAACAGAGGAGTCCAGACTTAACTCCTGAGGCAGTCTTCTGACTGCCAGGCTTTTGTCCAGGAGTTGGAGCTGCACTTCGAAGTTGGTAGGCTGGTAGTGTGCCAAGATTCAGTCAAGGAAATCAGGTGAGTTTTTTGGGGTGGGAACAGCACAGAAAAATGCAGAAGAGCCCTGCCTTCAGACCTGCAAGGGAAGGAGACTGAGCCAATGGCTCTCGCAGATGACTTTCTGTGAGGGTGGAATGTGGGAACTGAAAAGAGCCCCATTCTCTAAATTCAGTCATTTACAGGATATCTCTATACACTGGAGAGTATCAGAATAGTGGGATGGCTTGGAGTCTTAATGTGGTCCCAGTAGTGCTGCAGTGGTTTTTGTGGAAAACGTGGGCCAAGTATCATCAGCTGGCTGTTGGCCCAGGCATAAACATGCTGAGGACTTGCGCCAAGTCTGCATCCTTGAGGCACTGTTGTGTTACAAGTGAGGGTATAATACAGAGCCTTGAGTGAGGCAGAAATCTCCTTCCTGTTCTGTGATACTGCACACAGGGCCAAAAATGGTAGAGTATTCCCTTTTTGTCCTGGTACTACTTATGCCTTGGAAGATGAAGTGTTTACCTGTGCTGATTCTTTAGAATAATCCTGTTAGCTGGGTCTGCCTGCACCAGGTGACTACAACTGACTTAATACTTGAGAATCTTTTACTTGTAAGCATAAACTCAATCCAGTTGGATACTTGCCTGCATTTATCTAAGACTACTTCCTGTGGCTCCTATAGCAGCTGTAGGTGTGGTATCCCAGGTGAGTAGTGTGGTGCATGACTGATCTCTCTGTACAGGAGAACTTCAGTGGCCTGCCAGTGGGGACCTACCAGCCTTTCACTAACATCCACCCACCACCAATTCCGGCAAACCCACCCACATATGAGTCTGTAAGTGCCTGAGCTGAATGGCCATTGCGGGCAGCAGGGGGCCCCTCAAAGAGAGTGCAGTGGTAGCCACAGAGAAGGGAAGTGTTCATTAAGGACACTGCTGCCAACCTTTGGAGCTTTTGGGGTGGTGCTGGCATTGCTTACGGGTGAATCACTGAGTGCGCGTGATGGGAGGATGACTTGTGGGGAGAAGTTCCTTGTTCAGCTCTGTGCTTTGGCTGCAAAGGAAAGCCAACATTTCTCTTGCTGCATCATTCAAGTAGCGATAAACAGTTAACAAGCAGAAGCACAGTCTACAAATTCTAGTCTTTGCAGTGTGAAGGGTTTATCGCCTCAAGTCTGTTTAATTATGGCTTTTGAACTAATTAATAGCCTGGATGACAATTTTGGCTGACGCAGATGCTGTATGTTTAAACACTCTTTCTTTCCCAGACTTTACTCAGTCCTTGGGGAACAATGAAAGAGAGGCTGGAGACTTCCCTTTTTTTGCTTGTTTGTGGTTTTGTTGGTGTAGTTCATGGTCGTGCCTCCCCCACTCTGCCTTTGGTGACGTGCTGCTTGTTTTTGTGTTATCCAGAGCAGGGAGGAGCTGTGCTGAACCTTGGGCTCCTTGCACAGCAGCCTGAGTTCGGGAGGGGCAGGCACAGGCACAGCAGTGCAGGTGAACTGGGTGGGGATGGATGTTGCTGGCTGCAGCCTGCAGGGAATGAGGAGCTTTAACAGCACAGCTGGGTGTGCTGTGGGCCTTTGTCCCAGCTAGACCAAAACCTGAGATGTGTCATTTCATATCCTGCTGCTAGTCACAAGGGCCTGTCAGTGGTTTATGAGGAAGGGCAGAAGAGCTGTGATGACATGGGTGAAGAGGGCAGTCTTTTCTCACTCGTGCTCTTGAATGTTTCAGACCTGATAGTGGATATGCTCTGTTGATTCAGTTCCAGAATATAGTCAGTGAAGCTGCTTTAATTGAAAGGGAGGGAGAAGAAAGCTGAAGTGCTGCCTCTGTTTCTTGGGAAGAGAGGCAGATTGTTCCAAAGCCAGGGCTGCCTGCTCAGGGCAGGGAGAAATGTGCACTGCTCTGCTGGGACTGTGCCGCTGAGCTCTGCCTGCACGCTGGAGTGACCGTGCCTGGTGGGACAGAGCTGTAGTAACTGAGAGTCTTTTTCAGATTGATGAGCCGAATGCTGACAAGGACATTGCTGCACCAGTGCCTGGTGAGTATGTCCAGGGGTTTAGTAAACCGTGGGTGTTAGGGGCTGCTCAGAAAAACCCACTGGTGCTGTCTGTTTCCTGGGTGAGCTTTATTTGTGCAGCTCCATTTGGCCCAGTGAGCGTGTGCTGACAGTGAGGTGCAGTGATATTTCTCTTTTAAACAGGGCCTGAGCCCAAGCCAGAAGCTTCTCCTAAACCAAGAGCTGGAGCTCCTAATACCTTTGATAACTTTGTGCTGCCTGAATTACCGTCTGTGCCAGACACGCTGCCAACGGCATCTGCTGGCGCCAACTCCTCCGCCTCAGAAGACATTGACTTTGATGATCTTTCTCGGAGATTTGAGGAGTTAAAGAAGAAGACATAAAACTTCCTGGGCTGCAGGAAGGAGAGGCAGGAGCTTCTCTCTGAAAAAGACTCTCCTTGAAATTGGTTTCCTGTATTAACCTCAAATGAACGCGCTCTCCTTTTTGAGCTCTCTTCCTGCTATACTTACACCAAATGCTGCCACTTTCCTGATCTTTGTTGCTCCAGGAGGTGAACTTTAGGGAATTGTGCAAGTTTGGGCCCCTGTCAGTCTGAGTAGCTGTATGCGAAAGCTGTGCCTGATGTTCTGGGCACTGTTCCTGGCTGCCTTCATGATGGCTCTGTGCTCCCAGAGGAGGCTCCCTCTCGGGGAGCCCTTGCTGGCCTTCATGGTGTTCTCGGGGGGGGGGGGGTCTGTTCCCAAGGCATCATGTTCTGCCTGGGCCCACTTGAGAGCACGACTGGCAGGGCTAGGCGGGCTCTGCTGCCCAGGGGCTCCCCTAGCTGCTCTGCTGCGCTCGTGGGAATCTGATGGGATATGTGGCAGCACCTTGTTTTTCCGCGGGCCAGGGGTGGGGCCTCCTAGGGCTGTACTTCACCTGTCCGTGATACTGCCACACCTGTACGGTCTCTGTCCTGTGCCTGTCCGTGAAGTCACAGACACTTCCCGCGGGGCCCGGGCTGTTCCGGCCCCGCCGTCGGTTCCAATAAAGATGGGCCCGGGATCCGTCCTGTGCGCGCGCCGCGCGGGCGGGGCCGGGAGCGCCCCCCAGCGGGGCCCCGACCTGAACTGCTGCTGCTGAGTCGCTATTGGGTGGAAGGGTTCGCGCTCCTCCAATCACCGCGGGCGAACCCGGAAGTGCTCGCACGTGGCGGGCTGAGCCCATGGCGGCGCCGCTGCGCGTGAGCGGGGGGGAGATCGGGATCGGCCCGGCGGGGCCGTTCACGGGGACCCGGGCACGGCCGGGGCGGCTGGGGCTGGAGCGGGGCGGGGCGGGACGGGTGGAGTGGGATCCGGGGCTGGAGTGCCGGGATATGAGGGTATGGCCTGGGATGGGGGGGAAGGGAGTGCCGGTACCAGGATGGGATGGGTACCGGGGTGGGATGGGTGCGGGGGGTGGAATGGGATCGGTGCTGGTACCAGGATGGGATGGGTGTTGATGAGGGTGCCGGGTTGGGATCGGTACCAGGATGGGATGGGTGCTGGTGCCGGTAGGGAATGGGGAGGGGATCGGTACCGGGATGGACAGCTGACGGCTGTGGGCAGGGGCGGCTGCGGGCGCTGGCCCTGGGAGGCTGCGGGCTGCTGCTGGGCTCGGCGCTGGCGGCAGGAGACGAGCGGCTCTACGCGGCGGCGGTGATGCCCGCGCTCCGGGCGCTGCCCCCCGAGACCGCCCACGGCCTGGCTCTGCGCGCTGCTGCCTTCGGGCTGCTGCCCCCCGCCCGTCCCGACGGCCCCGCGCTGGTGCGACTCTGGCGGGGGGAGATCGGGGGTGGGGCGGGAATTGGGGCAGAGAGTTGGGAGGGCGGAGTGGACGGGGGGAGGGAGGGCGGGCGAGTGTCAGTGGAAGCCTGTCACAGTCCGCGGGGGAAGACGAGGGTCTCTCGGGCAGGCACTCCATGGGGCAGAGGAAGGGAGGTCAGGGGAGGCAGCTGGGGTTGTTCGGGAGGGGTCTGGAGCGAGGCTCCGGCTGTGGTTCCTGCGGTCGGTGGGCTCTGACCCAGACCTGTCCCCACAGGAGGTGCGAGTCCTCGGGCAGCGATTCCGCAACCCCCTGGGCCTGGCCGCTGGCTTTGACAAGCAGGGTGAGGCTGTGGACGGGCTGTACAAGATGGGCTTTGGCTTTGTGGAAGTGGGGACCGTCACGCCCAAGCCTCAGGAAGGGAACCCCAAGCCCAGGGTCTTCCGGCTGGCAGAGGACGAGGCGGTCATCAACAGGTGGGATCTGAGGGCGGTGTTCAGCCGTGTCCTGCAATCTGCCTACCCTGAGGGTGGTTATTTGGGGAAGGTCAGGGGTGATTTTCACCCCATGTCTGGCTTGCACTCACAGGACAGCAGGTCCCTCTGTGCCAGCACCTGCAGGTGCACATGGCAGTGCAGGGTTATCTGGGTGGTCCCAGCTCCGTGCTTGGTGCTGTGGTGGCTTTTGGGTTGGATGTGCTGAGCAGAGCTGCAGAGACTACGCGTCTGCCTTGTTTCTCCTGTGTCCTGTTTGGGGTTTGTGGACACCAGCCCAGCCCTGAACCCTCTGTCCTAGTGCAGGTATGGATTCAACAGCCATGGCCATGTTGCAGTGGAGCATAGGCTGCGGGCCCGCCAGGAGACGCAGACCAGGCTCACTGGTGGTGAGACAAACTTGTAAGACTTTGCTCTTGGGGTCTGCAGGGTGGGTTTGGGGGTCTCCCAGGTAGCTGTAGGCCAGGAAAGGTGTGTAACACCAGTGTCCTGGCCAGAGCAAGGTACACTCAAACAGCAGGACCCTCTTGGGGCTGTAGCCTCTCCCCTTGGAATTGTGATTAGTCACCTTTCTCCTGCCATTTTCTTTGGGACCGAGCTGCATATACTGCTTTAGGCAGAACATGTTAAAGCCAAAGCTAAGAGGACCCCAGCTGGGCAGATCCTGACGGCAACCTCTGCCAGGCTGTGGTGCTGGGAGGTGCTGAGTGGGGCAGTTGTGGCGATGCTCCTGTGGCTGTGGGACAGTGCCAGGCCCATTCCCATGAAATACATGGGTTGCATATCCCCATCTTGATTTTAGCTGGTCCTGGAGCCTCCCTTTTTGGTGCTCTGGCCCTTGGGTGGGGGTTGGTCCTGCTGCCCTAGTTCAGCCATGTCTATGTTCCAGCGGGGATGCCCCTTGGAATCAACCTGGGCAAGAACAAGAGCTCCATAGACGCTGCAGCTGACTACGTGGCTGGGGTCCGGACACTGGGCCCTTTGGCTGACTACCTGGTTGTGAATGTGTCCAGCCCGAACACCCCAGGGCTGCGGGACCTGCAGGGCAAGACTGAGCTGCAGGACCTGCTGAGAAAGGTGGGTCACTTCCCCCAGCCAGCCCAACCTGCAGCTGCAGCACTGGATGCATCCTGTGCCCTGGCAGTGTCTGCTCCACTCCAGCCAGTGGGTTTGCCCTGGCACAGGGATAAGTGGGGCGGCTCCCAGGAGTGTCGGGCAGGATTGCTGAGATGTCCCCTGATCAGCTGCTGCTGTGGGGTGCACCAGGGCACTGTACCCCAGCAAAGGGCTCGGGAGCAGTGAGGTATCGCCATCCACTCTGTTCCTGCCAGAGGCAGCAAGTCACCCACCCCACGGCTTTGGGTGTCCTCGGGGTCCTGTGCTGGCCGTGTGCCCTAGGCCCTGTACTGAGGTTGCCTCTCTGTCAGGAATGCCATGTAGAGGAGCAGGGCCTGTCCCTGTGCTGGTTGGTGCCCGTGGCTCCTGTTCAGGGCACGAGGTTTCTCCCTGCCATGCACTGCCATGTGCACCCGCAGGTGCTGGCGGAGAGGGACCTGCTGCCCCGCGAGCACAAGCCAGCCGTGTTGGTGAAGATCGCCCCGGATCTCACTGCACAGGACAAGCGCGACATTGCCAGCGTTATCTGCGAGGTGAGATGGGAAGGGGAGGCTGGTGTGCCTTCTGCCTCACCTCACACAGCACGGGGGCAGGACCATGGCACTCCTGACAGGTCTCCTCTCTGAAGGATAGGTGCACCTGCAGCTCCCTGGCTGCCATAGGGGTGGGATCCTGGGTAGCTTGGAGTCCGTGAAGACCTATGTGTGTCAACCAGACCTTGGGTGACCCAGATAGTCCAGGCAGTGAGGGGCAGCTGCTTTGTGCCCAGGCATGTTTCTGGGTTTATGTGCTGGGGGAGCCCTGACCTGGCATCCCAGGGATGGGATAGGATGGGATGGGATGGGGGGGAGCTGCTTGTTGCTGCTGTGTCCTCACACTGCTGCCCCCCTCAGCTAGGTGTGGATGGGCTGATTGTCAGTAACACCACCGTGAGCCGCCCCAGCAGCCTCCGGAGCAGGCAGCGCATGGAGCCCGGGGGCCTCAGCGGGAAGCCCCTGCGGGAACTCTCCACACAGACCATCAGGGAGATGTACTGCCTCACCCAAGGTGGGAGCAGAGCAGGGCTTGGGGGGTGCATGCCGTCATTGCCTGTGCCTTCCTGACCCTGTGCCTGCCCACAGGCCGGGTGCCCATCATCGGGGTGGGTGGGGTGAGCAGCGGGCGGGATGCCCTGGAGAAGATCCGTGCCGGAGCCTCCCTTGTGCAGCTGTACACAGCCCTTGTGTACCACGGGCCACCGGTGGTGGGGGCAGTGAAGCGGGAACTGGAGGAGCTGCTGAGGTGAGGGGGCTCCAGGCACCTCCCCAGGGAGCCCCTGGGCCCAGGGTGGCTCTGCTGGTGCCCAAGCAGTGCACCACCAGGCTAAGCTGCAGTGCCAAGCTGGCCCTGCCATCTTGCACTGTCCCTGGTTAGGGAGCAGGGCTTCAAGAATGTCATGGAGGCGGTTGGAGCAGATCACCGGTGCTGACATGCTGCAGAACCAAGGTCTAGCCAGAAGGAGCCATGGCTGAGCAGGAATGAGTCTGATAATTCCAGTGCTGGGTGGGCTGGGACCAAGCCAAGGTCTTGGTCCCAGGCCCTGAGAAGAGCCTCTGATGGGTGAAGCAGGGGCTGCATTAGTGGGGAGCAGGGGAGGGGACCTCCACACCAGTGCCACTGCCCAGGGCTGTGTTTTGGCTTTCCTGTGGGCAGCCAAACCCAGCCCAAGTATCAATAAACATTTGGCTCACCTGGTCGTGTATGCTGCTCCGGGGATACCTCATGGGCTGGAGGGACACAGCCCAGCTCTCCTGAGCCAAGCAGGATCGGCTCTCTGTGTTGCTCCCACTTTTCTGGTGGGAGAAGCTGCAGGGTAGCTGAGCTCTGGGATGAACCGACAGAAGTGCACCAGGGCTCCCCTCGTAGAGATCTCTGCCCGAGGCCAGGCACTTGGGGTTGCTGGGTCCCAGTTCTTCCCTTTGCTGCCAGTACACAGCTGTTTGGAGATGACTGCTTTTATGCCCTGTTATTGTTGTGGAAAGGGTCTGATTGGTAGTGCTTCTGCCTGTTGGTTTTGTTTCTGGAGCCTCCAGCGCTGACTGTTCCTTCACCCTGAACTTCCTGCAGTTACCTTAGGCTTTGCTTGAACAAGAGCTTGCCCTGGACACAGCATTTCCTTTGGCAGCCTTTCGCAGTCCACCCTGCAGAGCAGGATTGCGCCACAGCACTTCCCCAAAGTTGTTTACAACTCCTGCCCCTGCTCCAAGTGGCACTCAGCTCATGTCAGGGTCATCACCGACCTGCTTCCTCCTTCTGCAGCCCCCTGCACCAGCCTCTTCATGTCCCAGATTCTCTACTGTGGGCAGGTGACACCTATTGCTGCTCTAACAGGGAATTCACCTGATCTGTCGGCCAAGGTGTTGATGTGCTTTGGAGAGTGCCTGGGAGACTCTTGCTCTTTCAGGCTGAGGGTGACACAGCACCTTCCTAAGGTACTGGTGCTGTTCACGGATCAGAGCTGCCAAGCCCTGATGCATTTGGTGCTGGACTCAAGCCTTCTGTGTGGTGGTACAAGTATGGCTGCTGCTGGATCAGGGATGTCAAACTCTGCATTGTTTGGAGACACAAATGCCCCATGAGATGGGAAGAAGCTCACAGAGGATGGGAAAGCCACCTGGGGTGTCTGGGACCAGCCACAGATGTCCCTCCTGAGCCTGAAGAGCTGGAGCATCCAAGGGGCAGGGGGGCACTGGCAAGACCCTGGCAGGCCAAGCTTCAATGGCTCAGGGCTGGGGCTAGTGCCACATGCTATGAATGGTTTTGGGGTGGCTTCCCTGCAGCACTGGCTCCCTCCTCTCCTGCTGCCCCTCAGCTGTGCTCCTGCTGGAGGCAGACTGCTCGTGGGAATAGGCTGATGTGCTCTGCCCTGCACCCCTGCTGCCCAGCCACATCCAGCTGGGCACTGGCCAGCAGTTGCTGCTGTGAGTTCCCGTAAGCCTGGGTTGAGCCCTCGATGCTGCTGACAAACAACCTGCACCCCTGGGGCCAGGGGCTGCCAGAACACGGGGCTGTGGCCCCACTGCGTGGGAAGGGGTGGGTACTGTTTGGAAGCTGGATTGGCTGCAGTCCCTCAGAGCCTGTCCCTAGTGTGGGACATGTTGCTCCCCTTGGCCAGCGGGGTGGCACTGCCCAGGGCACTACCCCAGCTCTGGGTGGGTGTACCCTGACTGTCAGCAAAGCCAGGCACAGGATGAGATGGGACCTGGCTCCTGAGACCCAGCTTCTCCTGCCAGCACTGGGGCAGTCACCTGTGCCCTCCAGGGACTGTGGTAGGTGTGGGCACAGGGCAGGTTTGCCAAGGGCAGGGGCTGGTCTGCTCTCTGTGAGCCTTAGCTGGTGTCACAGTGCCAGGGCACTAGTCTGCAGCCAGACACCCCCCCCCCCCATATTTGTAGCTACAAAATCCGGGAAACTCTTGGCACATTGGCTTCCCATGGGGGCTTGGCAGCTTCCCGAGAGCCTCTGCCAAGCTGGCACAGAGCCAGGTGGGGCTTTTTGTGTTCCTCCTGCTGGGAAAGGTGCTGGCTGCAGGCAGCAGGGTCAGGAGGTCTGGAGCTCTTGGGCTGCACCAGGGGGAGGGAGGTGACAATAAAAGGGGTGAGGAGGGAGCCCTGAGCAGCAGTGACCTGCAGGAGGAGTCTGCTGTGAGCAGGGAGCTGCGAGCATGGGGTAAGCAACACCAACGTGTCCCTCCATGTGCTCAGTGCTCTGTCTGTCCTGCTTGTGTGGCTGAGGACCTGGCCCTGCTGAGGGCCATGGCAGGACCCATATTGGGCCTGGAAGCACCCCAGGTCCCAACATTGCAGCCTTGCCCTCTGCAGCAGCAGGGTCCAGGTCTGGGTCCTGGCTGTCTGATGGGCAGCCCCGAGGGCCCTCCTGGGACAGGACAGGAGCCCAAACAGGGTCCTGGTGGAGCCCACGGCTGGGAGCAGGGGAGCTTTCTGGGAGCTCTCTGCTGATGCTGCCCTATTCTCCCTGCAGACCTGCAGAGCTGCTGATCGCTGGCCTGGCCTGGAGCATGCTGGGGACTGCAGCTGCCACCGGTACCTTCCAGGGCAGGCAGGGAGCACTGGGGTTCAGACGAAGGGGAGGGGACTTGGCAGGGAGCAGGCAGGGTCAGGGAAGATGGAACTAGGGAGGGATCCAATGGAGGTGGGAGCATGTCCTGGGCTCGGTTCTCTGGGCCAGCTGAGCATTGTCTGCCTGCAGAGCGGAGCTGTGCAAAGCCTGCGGAGATTGAACACGGCCACGTGGAGCACCTGGTGGTCAGGTACCGCTGCGACCCATACTACCGGCTGCGCGGCTCCGATGATGGTGAGGCACATCCCCAGCTCCAGGGGATGCAAGGGGCTGCCCCAATGCCAGGGATGCAGCCCCCTACCCCACTTCCTCAGGGGTATGAGTAGCTACATCTGCTCACCAAAGCCCCAGGGAGGTACAAGCACCTCTGTGCCTCCCTGGCTGCAAGGCAGGGATGTTGACTCTGGTTTCTCTCCAAAGGGACATACAAATGTGATGGGAATCAGGTGTGGGTGAGTCCTGAAGCTGGTAAGGAGGTGCCTGTCTGCGAGCCAGGTGAGAGCAGAGCCACAGGGGCTGGGGCTGCAAAAAGCAGGGCAGCTGTGGGGCTGTGAGCAGTCTGCGCAGCCAAAGGGCTGTAGGAGCTGCTGAGCACCACTGGGCTGAGAGGGCTCACCTGGGTCCTGCTCTGCCCTATGCAGTGTGTGGGAAGCCGAAGAACCCCCCCAGGCAGATGCAGCGCATCATTGGGGGTCTGCTGGCTCAGAAGGGCAGCTTCCCTTGGCAGGCCCGGATGGTGACCCGCCACAACCTCACTGTGGGGGCCACACTCATCAGTGATCAGTGGCTGCTAACCACTGGCAGGAACGTGTACCTGAACCACAGCGAGAACACCAATCTGGAGGAGATCGCCCCTACGCTGCAGCTGTTCCTGGGCAGCCGGGGGCAGCCCGCCTTGGGCATCGAGCACATTGTGCTGCACCCTGGCTACCCACAGGCTGTGGACCTGGCCCTGCTGAAGCTCAAACAGAAGGTGCTTGTTGGAGAGGAAGTGATGCCCATCTGCCTGCCCCAGAAAGACTACGTGCAGCCAGGGCGGGTGGGCTATGTCTCAGGCTGGGGCCGTGGTGCCACCTTTGCCTTCTCTGACATGCTGAAGTATGTGATGCTCCCGGTGGCTGAGGACAAGCAGTGCCACGAGTACTACGGGGCGCGGAATGCATCCTACTGGGTGCAGCCCATCCTCAGCAACGATACCTTCTGCGTGGGCATGAGTGAGCTGCGGGAGGACACCTGCTATGGAGATGCTGGTGGGGCCTTTGCTGTGCAGGACCCTGATGACGACACCTGGTACGCAGCTGGCATCCTCAGCTATGACAAGACCTGCACGGCCGCCAAGTACGGTGTGTACGTGGACGTGCAGCGCGTCTTGGCCTGGGTGAAGGAGACAGTTACAGCCAGCTGAGGGGCTGTGGGGGAATAAAACTGTTCTGCCTCGGGCTGCAGGCTGTGTCTCTGTGCAGACTGTGTGTGTGTTTGTGTCTGTCTGCAGGCTCGGTGTTTGTGCAGCACATGGGCCTGTCTGCGCAGGGGCAAGCGTGTGCCTCCTCTCACCCCACCACATCCCGGTGGGTCCCTGGAAGCCTTCGCCGGCGGTTGGCTGGAAGGCTCGGGGCTGCAGGGACTGCCCGGGGCTCTGGAAGGTTCTCGCTGCCCTCCGCGGTGTGTGGGTGTCCGTGGGGGGCTGTCCCCGTGCGGGGCTCTCTGTCCCCGTGCGGGGCTCTCTGTCCCCGTGCGGGGCTCGCTGTCCCCGGGCTGCCGCCGCCGGTCCCGCCCGTCCGTAACTCCCCCGCTGCCTCGGCGGCCACGTGACCCCGTGGGCGTTCCCCACGCCGGAAGTCCGCCAGGAGCGGTAGCGCGCCTTGCCCAGCGGTGTTTTCACCCTGCAGTGGCGGCGCTCCCATAGGCCCTGGCCGCTGTGTCTATGGTGCGTGTGGCTAGAGCGGCTCCTCCCGCGGAGCACTGTGGGGCGGCCATGGCGGCGCTCGGGGAGCTGGGTTACGGTCGCTGAGGAAGCTGCGGGCGGTGCCGGCGGCGGGGCCCGGGCGGCGCTGCGGCCGCGATGGCCGCGGCGAGCGAGGAGTCGCTGCACCGCCTGTCGGGGACGAGCCCGGGCGGCGAGGCGGGCGGGCTGGTGCTGCGGGCGCAGGGCGCCGAACAGCACATCTTCAAGGCGCCGGCCCCGCGCACCTCCCTGCTGGGCCTGGACGTGCTGGCGGCGCAGAAGCGGCGGGAGCGCCAGGAGGAGGAGGCCGGGGGGAAGCGATCCCGGGTCGCATCCTACAAAGACTGGGAAGAGGGTCGTGACGAGGCGGGCAGCGCCGAGGAGGAGGACGAGGAAGAGGATGAGGACGACCGGAGCAGCCGCAAAGGTCGCAGGAACAGGTCGGGTCTGGGGGGGGCTCCTGATGCCCGCGGGGGTCGCTCCCGGCCGGGAGGGGAGCGGGGGGCGAGCAGGGGGCGAGCACAGGCGGTGTCACGGGGCTGCGGCTTCCGGCGTGGCAGAGACGGAGGCCTGAGGGGGACTGCGGGCCACTATGGCAGAGCTTGAAACTGGAGCCGTACGAGACCAGCTGAAAGGCAGCTACTGCTCAGCACTCCTGAGCGTTTCTTCTTTCTGCTCTGCCTGCCCAGGCATTACCGCTCCGTCCACGTGGAGACACCTTCATACACAGGGGGTGTCAGCGAGGAGTTCTGGGAACGCAGCCGGCAGCGGGAGAGGGAGCGTCGGGAACACGGAGTCTTTGCCTCCTCCAAGGAAGAGAAGGAACGGAAGAAGGAACGCAGTAGGGAGCGGGACCACGATCGTAAACGGGACCGTGGTAACTGCTCTGAGACCTTTGTGGTGCTTCTTGCTTTGGGTCTGGGCTTGTCCTGTCGCCTGTTTGTAGTTCTTAGCTAACGTTTGTGGTGATTTCTCCAGCAGACTTGGGAAGCTTGTTTGTGCAATAGGCACCTGATCCTACTTTGTTTTCACAGAGGAGCGGGACAGGAGTCGTCACAGCAGCAGCAGATCGGAAAGGGATGGCTCGTCAGAAAGGAGCAGCAGGAGGAGTGAACCTGAGAGCCCCCGACATCGGCCCAAAGGTGGGAGTGGGACCCGGTAGAGCTCTTGTGTGAGACTTAACAGGGAGGGGTTTGGGGTTTTTTTTTTGCTTCCTGCTGGTTGTGTAAGGACAGAGATGTGGGAAAATCAGGCAGATCTCTGCAGAGTGGGGTCTGTTCTGGGTCTGTGTGATGGAAATGTGGCCCTTTGGCAATTCCTTGGAATCACTGGGTCAGCCCCTGCCCTTAGAGGGAGGGCAAATGAATACTCTGTCTCCCTGCTCCTTGCTAGAAGGTGTTAGGTGGCTCCAGTTGCTTGGGGCCGCTGTTGGAACATCAGGTGTCAAACCCCACCTCCTCTACCAGATGCAGCCACACCATCTCGCTCCAGCTGGGAGGAAGATGATAGTTGCTACAGCAGTACCCGTCGCTCACAGTGGGAATCTCCCTCACCCACGCCTTCCTATCGGGACTCGGAGCGCAGCCACCGGCCATCATCACTGCGGGACACGGACCGGCGGGAACGGGACAGGTACCAGTGCCTGGGGCAGGACTGTGAGCTGTGGGGCTGCAGAAGGGGGACAGTGTGCTTGTGAGCAGTGCTGAGCTGTGGCACCAGTTCCTCACTCCTGCTCTGTTTTCAGGTCTGTGAGGAGCAGGTACTCAGACAAGACGCCATTGCCCACCCCGTCGTACAAATACAATGAGTGGGCTGACGACAGGAAGCACCTTGGAGCCACGCCACGGCTGTCCCGAGGGAGAGGTGAGGAGTCTGGGCTGGGCTGCCCAGGGTGGACAGTGCGGAATCCCTTTCCCTGCGGCACAGGGTCAGCTCTGTGGGGTTTCCTTGGGAGTGTTCTGGACCAACTGGCACACCCGCAGGGCGGCGCACAGATGGCGAGGAGGGCATCGCCTTTGAGACGGAGGAGGAGCGGCAGCAGTGGGAGGATGACCAGCGGGTGAGAGCCGAGGGCAGGCGAGAGGCTTGGGGCTGCCGGGCTGTGGGAACGGGCAGAGCTGAGTGTTGCACCTCTCCCTTCCCAGCAAGCTGACCGGGACTGGTACATGATGGACGAGGGCTATGATGAGTTTCACAACCCCTTGGCCTACTCCTCTGAGGAGTACGTGAAGAAGCGTGAGCAGCACTTACACAAGCAGAGGCAGAAGCGGATCTCAGCACAGCGGCGGCAGATCAATGAGGTAGGGCCAAGATGTGGGGTTGGCTGCTCTGAACACGTGGGGTTGGCTGCCCCTTGGGAGACCACGGGCTGAGCCCTTGCTGTCGAGTGGAGAAGGACACTCTTGGTCCTGGCACAAGCTGAGGGAGGGCTCACAGGGAAGCTGTGATTGTGTCCCTCTGGAAATTTCAGCTCTGCCTCTCTTGTGTAGGCAGAATTTGCGGTTTTAGTGCTTGGTGGATTGCAATTCCAAGGCAGCAGGAGTGCAAAGGGCTGTGCTCCTGTTGTTATGGGTGTGAGGTACATTTACTAGTATTGTCCACTATTGGCCCAGTGGATGCTGGGGGCAGCTGCCCTCAGCACACAAGCAGGACTATGTCCAGGTTTCTTCACATATTCTGAGTGGTATGGGGGCCTTGTGGGCAGTGTCTGTCCTGCATTTCCTTGGAGGCAGTCCTGTTGACCACGTGGCTCGCATGGCCAGTCTGTTTCTTGTACTCTACTTCCAGTTATTGTTTCTTCCCTCATGCTTACTTTCAGGCTCTCTAGGTTGGAACCATCAGTTCCATCCTGTTGCCAGTGTGGCGCCCAGGCCCGGGCTCAGTGTTCTGGTGTGATCTTTGGGGCTTTCTGTGAGTCTTCTGTGTGTTTATGATATGTTGTTTCTTGCAGGATAACGAGCGCTGGGAGACGAATCGCATGCTGACCAGTGGTGTGGTCCATCGGATTGAAGTGGATGAAGATTTTGAAGAGGATAACTCCGCTAAAGTTCATTTGTTGGTGCACAACCTGGTGCCTCCTTTCCTGGATGGAAGGATTGTCTTCACCAAGCAGGTAGAGGCTGCAGCTGAAGGTGCTGATGGCTGCACATGTGAGCCCTTTGTACTGAAGCAATGCCTCCTCCCTCCAGCCAGAGCCAGTCATCCCTGTGAAGGATGCCACCTCGGATTTGGCCATCATAGCCCGGAAAGGCAGCCAGCTGGTGCGCAAGCACAGGGAGCAGAAGGAGCGTAAGAGGGTATGCTGTGACCTTTTGGCTTACTGCCCACTGTACATGTTAGGTAGTGCCTCACAGCCTTGTTTGGACTCCAGAATTCAGGCTTTGGCAGCAGTGATGATAAGGAGTTCATATTTTTGTGACTTGGGACATCTTGGCAGCCCAGCTCACTGCATTGCTTCATAGCAGCTGCTGTGCTGTGATTGCCTTGGGTACTGCCTGGGACATGAATCACTGTGCACTTGTGCAGAGGAGGCTGATCCAAAGGACATTTGAATTGTGGAAGAAGAAAGCAGATGGAAGAATGCTAGTCAGCTTAGGGACAGTCAGCAGGCAGTATGGTAGCAGTATGGCATACTGTTTTCTTAGGAGGCGGTTGCTCGTCCTGTGCCTGTATCCTTACCAGTGTCTTAAAACTCTGCTCCAATTCATTTGGAAGAGGGAGACCTGATGAAGAGTGGGATGTGCATTCTGCATTGGGAAACTGTGGGACTTAGGCTTATAACTAGGATTGTCTGTGCTTCTTATACTAAAGTTATGCTGCTCTCTATCTTTCCAGGCACAGCACAAGCACTGGGAGCTGGCAGGCACTAAACTGGGAGACATTATGGGGATCAAGAAAGAGGAGGAGAAGGATGAGATGGTGACGGAAGACGGCAAAGTGGATTACAAGTAGGGACTTGCTCTAAATTACTTTGCTCAGCTGGTGATGGGGGCTGTGGGTATAGCAGAGTGTGTGGAGAGGCAGCTTCAGGACTTGTGATGTGTCTTTAGGACTGAGCAGAAGTTTGCTGAACACATGAAAGAAAAAAGTGAAGCCAGCAGTGAGTTTGCCAAGAAGAAATCAATTCTGGAGCAGAGACAATACCTGCCTATCTTTGCTGTGCAGCAGGAACTGCTCTCCATCCTCAGGTATGGCTGCCAGGGCATCCCCAGGACATTGGCCTACATTTGGGAACCCAAGTGAGGAATTCCCCTAGACTCATGGCTGTTTGGAAGCTGTATTCTTGGGGAACAAACCGCACTCCTATCCGTAGGTGATGGCAGCTCCTGCCTGAGCTGGATGACACTTGACTGGTGAACACAAAACCTTTTCTTTGTGGTGTGCAAAGAAATACTTTTTCTCTTTCATCAGAGACAACAGCATTGTGATTGTGGTGGGGGAGACGGGGAGTGGGAAGACGACTCAACTGACGCAGTACCTGCACGAGGATGGCTACACTGACTACGGCATGATCGGCTGCACCCAGCCCCGCAGAGTGGCCGCAATGTCGGTGGCCAAGCGGGTCAGTGAGGAGATGGGGGTCCGTCTGGGGGAGGAGGTGAGTCTGGCAGAGGGTGCAGGGGTACCACCCAATGACAGTGGCTGGGGGTGTTGGAAGACTTGCTGGTATCTCTGCCTTCCCAGGTGGGCTATGCCATCCGTTTTGAGGACTGCACGTCCGAGAACACAGTAATCAAGTACATGACAGATGGGATCCTCCTCCGTGAGTCACTGAGGGAGGCTGACCTGGACAACTACAGTGCTATCATCATGGATGAGGCTCATGAGCGCTCACTCAACACTGATGTGCTCTTCGGGCTGCTTCGGGAGGTGTGTGTGAGCCTGGGCTAGAAGGCAGCAGCGTGGGGCACTTTGAGCAGAGTATTGGCAGGGACAACCCTTCTCTGCCAGGTCTGGGAGAGGGAAGCAGAGCTGTCATGTCTCTGTCTGCACATCTGGGTTCCTGGTTCTGGCGGGTTAAATCTCCCCTAGTGCTGCCAGAGTCTCGCTGATTGAGTGTGAGAACTCTCAGTACAGAGATCTTTGCTGGCTTAAGGCTTTCTGAACTGAGGTTGGTGGGTCTTTTTAACTTGTGCTCCCTGGCATGAGCTGCCAGTGCCTCTGTAGACAGCAGAAGCTCTGTCCTGTGCCGTTGTCTCAGTAAGAATGGAAGCAGCCCACAGCCATGCACAAATACCCCTTCCTTATTGTTCCTTTCATCTGCTTTCTAGGTGGTGGCCCGACGCTCAGATCTGAAGCTTGTTGTCACCTCGGCCACCATGGATGCAGATAAGTTTGCCTCCTTCTTTGGGAACGTTCCAATTTTCCACATTCCTGGGCGCACTTTCCCTGTGGATATTCTTTTCAGCAAGGTATGGTCAGTGTTGTGGAGGGAAGTACTGTTGTGACAGGAGGGAGTTGTGACCTGGATGTGCTGTACTCTGGGGTGGACCCACAGGACAGAGGAGGAGTGGCCGTAGTGTGCTCCACACAGGACAGGCCCTTGTTAACCTGAGCTCTGCCTTTCAGACCCCACAGGAGGATTATGTGGAGGCTGCAGTGAAACAAGCCCTGCAGGTCCACTTGTCTGGTGCTCCTGGAGACATCCTCGTCTTCATGCCTGGCCAGGAGGATATCGAGGTGAGCTGGAAGGGCAGGCGCTGTCCTACCCCATTCTTTCAATCTGATGTTTATGCCCCTCTTTGTGTTTAGGTGACCTCAGAGCAAATTGTGGAGCACCTTGAGGAGCTGGAGAAGGCACCTGCTCTTGCTGTCCTGCCAATCTATTCTCAGCTGCCCTCGGACTTGCAGGCCAAGATCTTCCAGAAGGTGCTGATGTGTGCTCTGCGATAGGGGTGGGGACAGGGAAAAGTGGAGCAGGAGACAGTACAGAGCAGAAGGGAGGGTTGCAGACATGTCTCTGTATTGAATGTGGAGGGTGAGAGAAAGCATGTACCCCCTTCCACCTGTCACTTGGGGCTCTGTGTTGCTGCTCCACGCTCCTCCCCAGACGGGCAGAGCCTTGCTCAGGAGTGTGACTGATGTGTAGTGTGCTTGCAGGCTCCTGACGGGGTCAGGAAGTGCATCGTTGCCACTAACATTGCAGAGACCTCACTGACAGTGGATGGCATCATGTTTGTGATTGACTCTGGCTACTGCAAGTTGAAGGTCAGCCAGGATTTCCTGTACTATCTGTGATCTCTGGTGCATTTGTGATCCAGCCTTCCTCTTACTCCCATCTGATCTTCTTGTGCCCTGCAGGTTTTCAACCCCCGCATAGGCATGGATGCGCTGCAGATCTACCCCATCAGTCAGGCCAATGCCAATCAGAGGGCAGGCCGAGCTGGCCGGACAGGCCCAGGCCACTGCTTCAGGTAGGCACATCACTGGTGTTCCTGTTCCTTTTGTATCCCCAGCTTGGCATCAAGTTACCTGTGTTTTTTGCTCACTGGAGTTGTTCATTATCTTGAACTCTGGGGGGATGTGGGCATTAGGCAGGCCTGAAGGACTCCTCCTTGGGACCCAGTTCTCTGCAGAGAAAAGGATGTGCTCCAGCTTCTTCCTGTGCCCATCTTCACTTGTGGCTGTTCTGCCCTGGATGCTGTCAGGATAGCAGCCAAGCCAAAGGCCTTTCCCAGGCTTTGCTCTGAGACCAGGGAAGGGCTGTGCTTGGGCGGGTGCTGTGCTGCAGCCCAAACACCCTGATGTGCTGGGGAGGACACGCTTTGGCTGGGGTAGAGGTGCCCCCCAGGGTCCTGCTGTCTGGGTGCAGGGTTGCTGCTTTGTGCCATGCCAGGCTGGGCTGGGCAGAGGCTGGAAAGTCTGTAAGAAACATAGTGGCCAGAACAGGAGGAGCATGCTCTTGGCATCTGTTCCCAGGCTCTACACCCAGAGTGCTTACAAGAATGAGCTGCTGACAACCACGGTGCCTGAGATCCAGCGCACCAACCTCGCCAACGTAGTGCTCTTGCTCAAGTCCCTGGGTGTGCAGGACCTGCTACAGTTCCACTTCATGGATCCGCCCCCTGAGGACAACATGTTGAACTCCATGTACCAGCTGTGGATCCTGGGGGCCCTGGATAACACAGGTATTGGCTGCTGAGGCAAGCTGCCAGCACATGGAACTGGGACCTGCCCAGCTGCTGATCAGTGATCCCTGTGCTGTTCCTACAGGTGGTCTGACCTCAACGGGACGTCTCATGGTGGAGTTTCCGCTGGACCCTGCGCTCTCCAAAATGCTCATAGTCTCCTGTGACATGGGTTGCAGCTCTGAGATCTTGCTTGTTGTCTCCATGTTGTCTGTGCCTGCCATCTTTTACCGTCCTAAGGTACCCACTTCATTCCAGCAGCTTGGGGCGTTTCCCTGCTTGGGGCCCTGCTTTTTCCTTGACTAATCTGTGTTCTTTGCTCACCCTTCAGGGCCGAGAGGAGGAGAGTGACCAAGTGCGGGAGAAATTTGCTGTTCCAGAGAGTGATCACTTGACTTACCTGAATGTTTACCTGCAGTGGAAAAACAACAGCTATTCTACCCTGTGGTGCAATCAGCACTTCATCCATGCCAAGGCCATGCGAAAGGTGAGGCTGTGGCCATGAGCCTGGGGGAAGGAGCCTTGTGCAGGAGAGGGCTCTGACTAGCACACACCTTTGCAGGTGCGGGAGGTGCGTGCCCAGCTCAAGGACATTATGGTGCAGCAGCGGATGAGCCTGGCATCCTGTGGTACGGACTGGGATGTTGTCAGGAAGTGCATCTGTGCTGCATATTTCCATCAGGCTGCAAAGCTGAAGGTGAGAGGTGTTTGTGCTGCCTGGGGGCTGTGAGGCCCTGCCTAGGAACAGGTGGGCTAAGCACACTTGTTTTTGCAGGGCATTGGGGAGTATGTGAACATCCGCACAGGCATGCCCTGCCACCTGCACCCCACGAGCTCTCTGTTTGGCATGGGCTACACACCAGACTACATTGTGTATCACGAATTGGTTATGACCACAAAGGTGAGCTTGAGCTGAGGGCTGCCAGAAAGGCTGACAAGAGCTCTAAGGGAGATGGGAGGGCTTTGCTGTGAGACTGGGATCTGTCTGAATGGCAGTTCTCAGGCTTTCCCATCTGTACCAATTAGGCACATCTCTGTCATCTGCAGGGTCCTATTTGTCCCTTTCCCACTATTTTTCCCTGGCCTCTATGGGACATATTTGAACCTCCCTGTGGTCTCACCAAATCTAACCCATAGCAGGGGGCCCTCTGAGGCCAGGAGGAATTGTCTGGAAGGGGTGTGGTTCTAGCCTGAGAAGTGCCATCAGCAAGTGGGGGAGAAAGGGAGCTGCCATGGCTCTGTGCATAGTGCCCAGGCCCCAAGAGTACCATCCTGCTACCCTGGTCTTCCCTTCTGTCCCTGCAGGAATACATGCAGTGTGTCACTGCCGTGGATGGAGAGTGGCTGGCAGAGCTGGGCCCCATGTTCTACAGTATCAAACATGCTGGCAAGTCACGCCAGGTAAGTCTCTTGTTCAGGATGAGCTGGCAGATGGCAGGCCCACTGTGTGCCTATTCTATTGCTCTGTGTGTGTGTTTTGACATGGAGGGAACAGGCCATCCCTCTCTTGTCCCTGACCTGCTGCTGCCTTGCTCCAGGAGAATCGCCGCCGTGCCAAGGAGGAAGTGTCTGCCATGGAGGAGGAGATGGCTTTGGCGGAGGAGCAGCTGCGTGCCCGCCGGGAGGAGCAGGAGCGTCGTAACCCACTGGGCAGTGCAAGGTGGGTGCTGGCCCTGCCTGGCCATGGCTTGCCTGCATGAAGCATCCCAGCTTCCCCATGGGCATTCTGGTGCAGCGAAAGGTTGCATTTTCCATTAATCACTCTTGTCGTCTCTGACAGATCTACTAAAATCTACACCCCTGGGCGGAAGGAGCAGGGGGAGCCCCTGACACCACGACGCACCCCAGCCCGCTTTGGCCTCTGAGATGGCAGTACCTGTTGCTTTGAGACTTAAGGACTTACAGGAGCAGCTGAGTCTCAGGAGAGTCCCCAATTCCCCTGATCACTGTATTCTATGAGATCTCTACAGCTTGTGGCCCAGGAAGGCTTTGGTGCTTGGCACTAATTTTGCTACAGAACAGAAAGAATTTTATTTGTTTAAAGGTTGTCAGTCTTAATCCTTGCTTTCTTTTGCACTGCTTCTTGTCCCAGAGGCAAGTATTGGGTGGAGGCAGCTCTGCAGAATTGTGCAAGGCTGGTGCTGTCAGGTTGTTGCCCTGTAGAACCTGGAACAAGGCACAGAATTTCAGTGACCTGAAGGACAAATACAGCCTGTCCCTGTTTCAACCCTGGCCCATACTCATGCAAAGGCAGTTCTCCCACAGCCCATGCCCTTGGCAGATAGCTTGTGCCCAGCAGTCCCTGCACACCTGGGACTGTTGGCCCAGCCCTGTTTCAGGCCAGGCTGTGCCAGGGATTCTGCTCACTTTTTCAGCTGCTGACACTTGTGGGGCTGCTCAGGTGTTCTGACTGTGAGATGTGGGTTCTCCTGCATCCTGCCTGGTGTGTCTTGAATGCATGTTTGTATCCTGCACCTGCTCTGTCACCTTGCTGAGCTCTTCCATAAGGAAGGCCAGCTCCACCTTGCAGACAACCAGCTCCTCTTCTCGCAGAGCCAGAGCTCTCTCACTGTCCACATGTAGCTGCTGCCAGTGTTGGGCTTGTCTGCTCAGGTCCAGCAGCCTCTCCTGGAGGGAGTAGACATGCCAGTGGCACAGTGAGAGAGATGGGCTGAGGACAGACTCCTGGTGCCCCACAGGAAGGCTTGAGACATCCTTACCTCTGGCTTGCTCTGCTGCTGGGAGCTCTTCCTCAGCCCCTGATGGAGCTGCTGCTGTTGTGTCTTATGGACTGCGATCTTTTTCTCCTGCTTGGTGCTCTCTCGCCGGGCTTGGGCCAGTTCTTTCTGCAGGTTGGCTGCGTCCTGCACCTGCCCGCAAAGCTGTGGGGCAGGGAGAGTGGTTGGCTGCACCATGGGCAGGCTGAGCATCTCCTGGAGGCAGGAGAGGGCTCTGGCACTGAGGCTGCATCCCTGTCCTGCCCTGCCCTCACCTGTTGCTGCAGCTCTACCACTTCTTTGTGTGGGCCTTGGATGGTCTCCTCAGCTCCACTCAGCTGCTGCAGACTCTGCTGCTCCTGGGCCTCGGTGGCTCCCAACTGCTCCTGCAGCTGAGTTGGGCTGTGCTGCGGGCCCTGGTTCTCCTGTGTCCCCAGCTGCAGAGAAGGCAGTGTGTTGGTGGGTTGGCCTCGTGCTTTGTGCCCTTCCCTGGGCAGGGGCACAACTGCCCTCCTTGTGCCACAGGAAGCTCTGAGCCAGCTGGTGCCCAGCTGTGTGAGGCAGTGGGGGAAAGCTGGCATTGCCGCTGCCTGCCCTGCCCCAGGGTTTCTGGGGGAAGTGGAGCAGGGCTCAGCCCTGCAGCACGTTTTGGGACACTGGCTGTATTGGCTCCTGTGCCCCCCAGACTGCTTCCTCCCAGACTTGATGCTGGGGGGTTGCTGGCACTGACCTGCTCGAGCAGCTTTCTGCTCTCCACTGGGATATTGTGGCTGGTGACAGAATGGCTGTGGGCAGCCACGTTGGAGGTGACCTCTGTCTGCACCGCTTGGTTCTTCAGTTGGAGAGGTGCATCACTGACCTGTGGGTATCCAGTAGGATGTGGGATCACCCTGTGCCCCTGCTGTGCAGAGCTGGGGCTGGAGGTGGAGCCACTTTGTGTCAACCCATGGACAGTGAGCTATGGGGGAGGGCCTGTGGCAGAGGAATGTGGCCTGCACCAGGTGGGAGGCAGGAAGGCTGCTGGCTTCTGACCCTCTCATCCCTGTGCAGACCCCCCTGTTGTGGCAGTGTCTGCTGGACAGCCAGCAGCTCTAGATGGCCATCCTCGTGGTCCCTGACCTGTGATAGAGCATGGTCACAGGGAGAGTGGTGATCCCAGCTCGCTGATGAGGCTGCAGGTTACAGCAGTGCCACCAGCCCTGGGACAGTGCCCAAGGTGTCAGTGGGGCCATTGGAGGCTGCAGTCTTCCAGCTCTGCTCAGCTGAGTAGACTGGGTTGTGCCAGCCATGCCTGCCCTGTGACTGCTGCTCTGTACAGGGTGTGGTGCTACAGCCCTGTCCCTTGTGTGGCTGGCAGGACATCCCCTACCCTCCCATGGGGGGTCACCAGCTGTTTGCACAGGCTGTGGGGCAGGCATGGTGCCTAGCCTGTTATGGGAAGGCAGTGGGGGACACATGCAGTTTGGCCTGCAGCTGTTGTGCCCAGCAGTGGTACCTTGTCTATCAGCACCTGGCACTGCTGCATCAGAGAGACCAAGTCCTGGTGCTCCTGCTCCATTTCACACTCCTGCTGCTGCAGCTGGGCCAGTCGCTTGCGGTTCACATCCCTGCAGAAGTCCAGGTCCCGCTGCAGTGCCTGTATCGTGGCCAGTACCTCAGCTGGCTCCAGCTCCTGCTGCTGTGTATCCTGGCATACTCTGGGCTCCCCAGGCTGTGGCTCCAGCACCAACGATTGCCTTTGGCCCTAGGACATATTGTGAGCAGCATCTGTCCAGCTTGCCACTGTGGCCAGCCCATATTGCAGCTCCTGCCTGGGCAGACACCAGGGCTGGACAAGGCTGGCAGTCCTGATTTTGTGCAGAGCAGCAACAGAGCATGTTACTGATAGGTGGGTACAACCCTACCCCCCCCCAGACAGCGCCACCCTGTCTCTCTGTGTGTGTGTGTGTGTTTGCGTCTGTGTGTGTGTGACCCACACAACCCCCCTGGGCTCACAAAGGGCCAAGCCCCCAACACCATTGGCCCTCAGCACTGCAGTGACACCAACATGAACTGTGGCACTGTGGGAAGCGGTGGCCGTGGGACCAGTGCAGCCACAGCAAGACTGGATACCCCCAAGCCCTTGTGCTCTCCCCAGCCCTGGGGACAAGGTGTCTGGTGGCTTACTCAAGGCTGGCCAAGGTCTCCTGTACCACCTGGCCACCAGCCTGTGGCCACATGACCAGCATCTGGGTGGAGCACAGGGTTGGCACTACTTACCTGGGGCTGCCAGGCCTCTGTCTCCTGCTGAAGCTGCTGAATGGAGTTGCTCAGCTCTGGTGTTGTCTCCTCTGCCCCTGGTAGCCCTGTACAGTGATACCTTTGAATCCTCAGGCTGGCCCTGAGGTACAGGAACCTCCCTGGATGTGTCACATTTTGGCCAATCCCTCGCTGCTGGAAGGACCACAACAGGGGACAGGCCTTTTCTGTGACGCCAGACAACCCTCATTCCCAGGGATGTCACCCAGCCCTGCCTGGGGCAGCCCCACCATCCCATGGCATTGGCACTGCCAATGCCATGGTGCCAGCAGGAGAGGCCGAGCCTGAGACCCCTAGAAAAGCATGGTAGGCTGTGAGGGACAGAACCCCCCTCAGCAGCACCTGACCCCGTCACTGCCCACAGTCCTCACCGCAGTCTTCCTGGGCCATGATCCTCCTCACCGCTCTGTGTCCCTAGCACGCTGTGGCACTTCCCTGTCTGCCACCATGAGGTCACCAGGTTCTGGGCATCATCCTCAGAACTGGGCAAGGGCACGGCAACACCCTCCTGCCATGGCGGGGCCTTGCCACCCTCACGCTACCCCTGCCCTGTCCTCAGGCTGTACTCAGCCTGCGGCTGGCCCCAGGACACGCCACAGGCCTGCGGCCAGGGCTGGGTGGCAGCAGGGCCAGCAGTGGTGCCACACTTGGGGCTGTGCCCTGGGACAACCAGACACAGCAGCCTCCCCAGTGTGGCCCCTCTGCTTCGCACCCCGTGCTCAGGGCAGGGCCAGGGAGACCCACTGCAGGGGCACGTCCTGGCAGAGCTACAGGCCACAGGCCCCAGCAGAGGCTGAGTGTGCCCAGAGAAGGCCGAGAGTGTGTGGCCGGCAGACTCGCCCTGCCTGGGGCCACCCCACAGTGCCCGGGTGCTCAGAGCAGGGCGGGTCTCTTGAGTGCCAGCAGCACCCTGAGTGTGGGCACAGACTTGCCGCTGGCCTATGCCAGTGCCACAGGGCTCCCTGTGCTGTGTGGTGTCCCTTGCTGATGCTCAGTGCAGTTTCACAGGTAAGTGTTTTAACTGGAAATTTCCAAGGCCAGGCTGGGCCCAGAAGGTGAATGCAGATGTACCATAATAGAAATCATCGGTTGCTATGACAACTTGCTCCACCAGCGGGTTGCAGCCACAGGCGGTGGGAGCAGGCGCAGCACCAACAGTTCTGCTAACAGGGCTGCTGACTCCCCCAGCCAGAACACAACAATTTGACCATAATTTCTGCCAGTTGCAAGAGATTTCAGTCTTGTTCAGGCAGCAACAGCTGGGACACAGAGCCTCCATGGGGCACAGAGCATCCCGGGGTACAGAGCCTCGTGCTGTGTGCTGTGCTGTGCCATGTTGTATTGTGCCATATGCAATGCCATGCTGCATTGTGCCAACACATGTGCCACACTGTGCTGAGCTGCAGGCAGTGCCTGTCTGGAAGGGCTTGACCCTGCTCCAGCTCTCTATGAGCCTGTGGGGCAGCCCCACAGCCCTGACCCACAGCTGCCCACCTATGCTTGGCTGGTGCTGAGGGGACAGGGTGGTCAAATTGGCCCCTCTGTTGCGTGAGCCGCAGTCCTGGGGGTGGGAGTTGTCTCACTTTAATTACTGCCGTAATGTTATTCTTTTCAGTGCCACGTTAATTGAAATTAAACAGCTGCCGCGTTCAGGCTGGGACAAAAGTGAATCCTTTTTCATTTCCCTCTGGTTTAATGAAGACTGACATGCTGAGAGAAAACAAAGGCGATCCTGCTGCTGCCTCTCGCTGGCACACACACCAGCAATTACTGGGGACCCTGCGGGCCAGCAGAGACACCCTGGAGCACCCAACAGCTGCCAGCCCCAGGCAGCCCCATCCTGTGTCCCAGGGCGCTCCTACCCAAAAGGTCTGGCCAGGGGGATGCAGGGGATGGAACATCCACAACATGGGGGATGCCAGCACGGAGGTCTCAGTGTCCAGAGTCCAGGCTTTCATTCTGTCTCTTAAGAAGCATCTGGCCACCAGCCATGCCCCAGTGTGGCCCCTCGGCCCTGCCATGCTGCCAAAGT